GAGGCAGAGGTTGCAGTGAGCCAAGATCATGCCACTGCACTCCAGTCTGGGTGACAGAGTGAGACTCCACCTCAAAAAAATAAATTAAATAAATAAATAAATAAATAAATAAATAAGTTCAAAGCCCAGGTTCTTTCCACCACACCTTGCTGCCACAGAAAGAGTGGAGGAGAAAGGGGTAGGAGTACACAAAGAGAAACAAACAGTGAGGGACAGTAGACCAGAAAATTTGAAGCAAGTAAGCCAGAACAGAAGGGGGAAGACAAGAAGGTAAGAAGAAAACAGACCAGCAAAGAGGCAAGAGAGGCTATCAGAGTCAGAAAGGAGGCAGCAGTCTCTTACACAACAGCCTCATGGTGGGCTCTCTCTGCCAGCATTATTATCTTCTTTTCAGCCTCTTGTTCTAGTCGGTGCTGAAAAAGAAAATGGGCTGCTTAAATAGTTATGCCTCTAACAACAAATTTTACTCATCAAAAAGTATTTTAGAATGTCAAATAAAAAACTCCTATCCCCATGACCTGAAAGAAGAACTCCCAAGCACTGGTGGAGGAGCCAACAAAGAGGACAGTGTAAACACAGGAACCTTAGGGTACCGCCCCATTTCCCCACTTAAGCAAGCAATATGACATATAAGTAGGGGAGAAAAATCACTTCCATATTGGAAAGCAGAGCCAGGAGGAATTTCTGCTAAATGCACTGAAATGAGAGTTATTCATTTATTCATTCAGGACTAGGCTGTTCTCAGTAGCCTCTCCCTCTACTCCACCCTAATCTTGATTTCTTTTTTACTTGGTGTAGAAAATAAAAATTAGAAGTGCTTGGTCAGTCTACAAAACACTATGAGCATTGGCCGGGCACGGTGGCTCACGTCTGTAATCCTAACACTTTGGGAGGCCGAGGCGGGTGGATCACCTGAGGTCAGGAGTTCAAGATCAGTCTGACCAACATGGAGAAACCTCATCTCTACTAAATATACAAAATTACCCGGGTGTGGTGGCACATGCCTGTAATCCCAGCTACTCGGTAGGCCGAGGCAGGAGAATCACTTGACCCCGGGAGGCAGAGGTTGCGATGAGCCGAGATCACGCCATTGCACTCCAGGCTGGGCAACAAGAGCGAAACTCCATCTCAAGAAAATAAATAAATAAATAAAAAATAAAAGAATGCTATGTGCACTAATAATTACCAGATTGTTTTAGATACTGAAATTCTGTGGTGAACAAAACAGACAAGGTCCCTGATCTCATGAAGCTTATATTCTAGGGTGAAATCTAAACAATAAGCAATAATTATCATATTTTGAGCATTTACTATGTGCCAGGAGCAGTTTTAAGAACATTACATGTATCATTTATCTGTCACAGCAACCCTGTAATATAGATACTACTATTATGCCCAAAAGCAGGGACTAAGGAAACAGAAAAAGAAAGGTTGGCCAGGCGTGCTGGCTCATGTTTGTAATCCTAGCACTTTGGGAGGCCAAGGTGGGATGACTGGAGCTCAGGAGTTAGAACCCAGCTCTAGGACTCCCTATCTCTGGGAGTCTCCCTCTGTTGCCCAGGCTGGAGTACGATGGCGTGATCTCGGCTCACTGCAACCTCTGCCTCCCGGGTTCGATTGATTCTTTCACCTCACCCTCCCGAGTACCTGGGATTACAGGCACCTACCACCATGCCCAGCTAATATTTGTATTTTTGTAGAGACAGAGTTTCAGCATGTTGGCCAGGCTGGTCTTAAACTCCTGACCTCAGGTGATCCACCTGCCTCAGCCTCCCAAAGTGCTGGGATTACAGGTGTGAGCTACCATGCCCAGCCAAAAAACAATTTTTTTAAATTAGGCATGGTGGTATGTACCTGTGGTCCTGCTACTCGGAAGACTGAGACAGGAGGATTGTATGAGACTGGCAGGTGGAGGCTGCAGTGAGCCATGATTGTGCCACTGCACTCCAGCCTGGGTGACTCTGTCTTAAAAAAAAAAAAAAAAAAAGAGAAGAGGTTGGTGACTTGCCCAAAGTCACAAAGCTAGTAAGTGGCAGAGCAGGGATTTATATGCAGGCAATCTGATGCTATACAGTCTCCTAACAAGTAAACAAATAAAAATAATTTATAGACTGTGATAAATGCTATCAATAAAATAAATGGGGTAATAAGGTAGATAGTAACTAGAGGAGGTCATTTTATTATTTATTTATTCTTATTTTTGAGACAGAGTCTCATTCTGTCACCCAGACTGGAGTGCAGTGGCACGATCTCGGCTCGCTGCAACATCTGTCTCCCGAGTTCAGGCGATTCTCATGTCTCAGCCTCTGGAGTACCTGGGACTACAGGCGTGCACCACCATGCCCAGCTAATTTTTGTATTTTTAGTAGAGAAAGGGTTTCACTATGTTGACCAGGCTGGTCACAAACTCCTGTCCTCAAGTGATCCACCAGCCTTGGCCTCCCAAAGTGCTAGGATTATAGGCGTGAGCCACTGTGCCTAGCCTCATTTTAGATTAGAGTTTAGGAAATCTCTCTCTAAAGAAATGATATTTGAGCTCTAAATAAGAATGATCCAGAGCTGGAGGAACAGCATTCCAGAAAGAGGGACTAGCAATATAAAAACATGGATGTAGAGGCCAGGAGTGGTGGTTTATGCCTATAATCCTACACTTTGGGAGGCCGAAGTGGGCAGGTCACCTGAGGTCAGGAGTTCGAGACCAGCCTGGCCAACATGGTGAAACCCCGTCTCTACTAAAAATACAAAAATTAGCTACTCAGGAGGCTGAGACAGGAGAATCAACTGAACCCAGGAGGCAGAGGTTGCAGTGAGTCGAGATCATGCCACTGCACTCCATCCTGGGTGACAGAGTGAGACTCTGTCTTAAAATATGTGTGTGTGTGTGTGTGTGTGTGTGTGTGTGTGTGTGTGTATAGGACAGGGCTTTGTGATTCAAAGAACAGAAAGAAATAAATGGGAAAATCAAACAAACACCAATGACCTGGGAAATCCTTTATATGGCCGGTTGGGGCATGCTGAGGTATGAAGTAAGTGAACAGGCCTATTGGAAAGCCCAATGCCATGAAGCAGCAGCACCAGGGCTCAAACCAGCACAGGAGAAATATCCACAAAGTTTACACCTAACATGGGAAAGCAGACCCTACTGTGATGTGAACATTCATTCCCATCCTTCTTTTTCCTTCCCAGCTTCCACTAGTGGCGAGGAAAACAAAACATTCACTTTCCCAGTAGTGTGTGTGTGTGTGT